TGTGCCAGATCCCCCCAAAGCCGGCAGGAGCCGGCATGCCTGGCAGAGCCAGACGCGCGGGCGGGGGGGTTACGCGGGGGTTCCCATGGGGCTCCCGGCACCCCATGGCTGCTCGCCCTGTGCAGCTGGTGAGGATGGCAAGGAAAGCTCTCCCGCACCCAGTGCCCCCAACACCACCCCAGCACCCCCAGGGATGCGTGCCAAGACCCCCGCGAGCTGCCCTTACCTGTGGGCTCTCCTGCTGTCCGTGCTGTGTTCCTACGGGAAGCACCGGATCCCTGCCAGACGCTCCATGGTGGTGCTGGGGGGTGGATGGGAAGCAGAGCCAGCGGAGGGGTGCACCCTGCATACCCCCTGCCACGGCTGGAGCTGTTGTGCCTGGTAAGACAGGTGGAGGTCAGCCCTCACCTGACCCCCTGCCCTGGCCGGAGCCCCCCTGGGCGCCAAAGCCCCTCCAAGGGCCGGGAATGCTGCACGTCACCGTGACAAGGGTCCGTTTTTTTTATCCTTTTATTATTTTTTTTTTAATAGACTAAGAGCAGAATATGAAAATCACCAGCCAAAGCACTTGAAAAAAAGGTTGAGAATGTTTCTTTTTTGTTGTTTTTTTTTGTTTTGTTTTGTTTTGATCTGTTTTGTTTTTCCCCAAAAAGTGTCTGTGCGTTTGCATAGGTCAGGTCTTCACAGAAGACGAGGAAAATCCAACACGTTCGACTATGTACAAGCCAGCCCGGGGCCGGCGCCGCTGCCTATGGTACAGTATAGATATATCTCTGTAGTCGCTCTCTGTACAGTATGTATAGATCGATATGGGTATGTACAGGCTGCCCGGCCCTGGGGGGTCCCTGCCCTCACCAGGCTCCCCCTCTTGGAGCTGCCCCCCGGCCCCGGGGCAGCCGCGGGGCACTGGGTGGGCTGCGGGCAGGACCCCACGGCACAGGACGGTGTCGGCGGGAGGTGCGGCGCACTCAGCCCGTCCCCGCGGACGTGGCCGCCCCCGTTGGCAGGGTGGGAGGCGAGTCCGGTCGGGATCGGCGCGTGCCACGATCCCTGCCCCGCGGGGCAGCTCTGCGGGCGGCTCTCCAGGCAGGGGGGGTGGTCCCGCGGTGGTTCCCCCGCTGGCTCTCAGGAGGGGCGGCAGGTCGGGGGGGCCGCACTCGGCAGAGCGGCGCTGGCCGGGCCCCCGCGGGCGCCGGGAGCTACGAGGCCAACAGGGTCATGAGGAAGAGCGCGGCGGCCACGGCCAGGGGCAAGTGTTCCCGCTTGGGGCTGGTGCCGCTGATGCTCTTCTCCAGCTTCGGCATCTCCGGGTTGAAGTTTTCTGCAGGGAACAGCGAGAGGGTGAGGGGGGCAGCGGGGCAGCCCCAAAACCCCACCCCCGGTTGGCTGGGGCTGCCCCAGAGGTGGCGGCGGCAGGGGGGACGCGGCGCAGGGGGGGCCGGGGGCTCTGCCTGACTCACCCAGGTCCTCGATCTTCACCTCGGGCCGCAGGGTGAACTGGGGCAGGGTGGGCGCCAGCTTCTCCCCGGAGTGTGACGCTGTAGAGGGAGAGAGGGAACGGGGGTCACGCTCCCTGGACGCCCTGTGCTGCAGCCCCCCCCAGGGAGGGAGAGGGGACCTGCCGGCCGGCCACGCCGCCCCCCGCTCGCCCACAGCCCCCAGGGTGGGGACAGAGGTACTTACTGGAGGCGCAGCAGACAAACACCTTCATCTTCAGGCAGGCCCGGCGGTGGTTGTGTGTTGGTGTGGCTGCAAGGCAAGAGAGGGCTGGGGGCGGCTCCGTGGTAGTGACCCCAGCCCCGGGTACCCCGAGGCGCAGTGGGTCTGGGCATGGGGGTGTCTGGTCCTGCCCAGGGGTGTGCTCTGGGCTGGGGGAATGCAGCAGCACCCCAAATCCCGCGCCTGCACCAGCACCCGAATCCTGTGCCAACAGCCTGTACCAGCACCCCAATCTGGCACTAGTACCCCAATCCTGCATCCTCCATCCTACACCATCACCCCCCAGCACCCCCATCCGGCACCAGCACCTTCACCCACACACCCATGCTGTCCCCCATCTTTCCCCATGCTCCCATCTCTCCCACACATCATGCACACCCCACCTGTACCATCAACCCCTCCCAGACCCCCATCCCAAAACTCCGGGTGCCCACTCTTGGGGAGGGGGGAACAGCTGCCCGGCTGTGGGAGGTGCAGGGGGACCCCAGCTGTGGGGGGTGGTCCTTGCTGGGGGCGCAGAGGGGCCCAACAGGGTGGGGGGACCACCCGAGGAGGGACATGGGGTGACCTAGCTGGGGCTGTGGGGGTCCCGCCCCGGTGCCCCCACGTACAGATGTAGTAGTACTCCTGCCCCGCACGGAACTCGTAGCCCAGTGAGAAGGCGCTGTAGCGCTGGAACTTCTCCGAGAACTTGATGGGGCTGTGGGGCGCGTGGGGCCGGTTGCACTCCCAGCGCTTGAAGCCCTGGCTGGTGTTGCAGGTGCGATACCCCTCCGCGTTCACCATGTACAGCACGTACTGCTCCAGCCGGTGCTCGGGCACCGAGGCGTTGTAGTGCGGGCAGTAGATGTCCAGGTAGTCGTTGACGTTCACCTGCACTGTGTAGCCCTCCCGCCGCAGGCTGCAAGGGAAGGAGGGGATGGGGGGGGTCAGAGACACGCCCTGCACCTCCCCAGGCACCATCCCCCTCCTCCATGGGGACCCGGAGGCTGGACAAGGAGCGAGTTGTCGAGTGGGGATTCCAGGAGCAGCAGCACCCCCTGCTCAGCCTCTGTGTGGAGCCCCCGACGCAGCGGGGCTGTGCAGCCTCACGGACCTGTGGAGCAGAATCAACATCCCCGGGGGCACGAGCGGACTGGGGTGGGAGAAGATCTGTTGTCAAGCCACATGCACGGGTGGGCTGGGCAAGAGCACAGGCACACGTGACGGCACTGCCAGGTCCTGCTGGGAATGTGCCAGCAGCCTCAAGGAGGAGACAGACACAGCACGATGGACAGACAGACCCAGAGGGGCATCGGGGTCCTGCGGGCAGCACGGTCCCCGTGGCATGCAGCCACTGGGTATGCATGGAACCCCGGCATTCCCTGGCATTCCCTGCCTCCAGCAGCCCAGAGCCGACCCACCGCGGCCGCCCACCACGGCCCTGGCACGCGCGGCAGCTCGGAGCCAGGATTTCTCACCCCGCTCTGGCTAATCCCGTTAGTTCGTTAATGCCGTAAAGGGTGGCCCTGGGGGAGCCTCATTTACATTGATTAGGAGCAGCAATCCCCTCAGATCCACTCAGGAGAGGCTCCGCTGGCTCCTAATCCGCGCCCGACGGAAATCCCGGCCTCGGTAATCCTCGCCGCCGCGCTGACCCGCTGCTCCTGCCAATTAATTACCACCCGGCGCTGGCTCGGCACCGAGCCCGCCGCGACAGCACCCGACCCTGACCGGAACACGCTTGCCGCTGCCTCAGCGCTGCCTCGGGGGGTCCCGAGCCCGGATCCCGCGGGACGCGGACCGCAGCATCCCCGGCACACGCGGCCGAGCTGCCCCGCGCGGCTCCGGCTCGCGGCGCGTCGCTCCGGCTCGCGGCCCTTTCCCCGCCTCTCACGGCAAACCCCAGGCTGCGAGCCCCCGCCACTCGGGCTCCCCTTGGCCCACGCAAGGTCCCGCCACCCCTCCCTCGCAGCCGAGCGTTCGCCGGGTCTCCCCGGCAGGGCCGGGCAGACAGCGGGCAGGGCTGCACGTGCAGACGCCCCACCCTGCACCATCGCCCCCGGCGCTGTTTGGGGAGCCCCGGCACCGCCGGCGCCCGCGGCACCCCGGGAGCCGAGCGCCGGAGACAGAACCAAAGGGGGGGACCTGGTGTCGGGCAGCAAAAGGGGGGGGTGGGCCGAAAAGCGCCGCCTCCGGCACCGGGGGGCGACGGTGGGGGGCTGATGGTGGAGCCCGCCGGCCGTGGGACAGGGAGCGCAGATCCACGCGGCCCCTCCCTCGCTGCGCAGCCGCTACTCCGCAGCCCAGCCCGGCACCCGCCGGCAACTGCTCCGCCGGGAAGGTGCTGAGGCAGCCACCCTTGCTCAGCGGGCGCCGGGACCTTTCATCTTCCCCCTTTGATGTGGTGGGAAGGGGGGGGGGGGGGGGGGGAGAGAAAAAGGCTTGTTATTAAAGAAATGGCCCCAAGGAGAAAATCGCAATTAACTCCGCGCGGGACGCGGGGCTGGGACGCCGGCGTACCCCAATACCTGCTCCCCACACCGGGGCGGGCACTGGCAGCCGGGGCTCACCGCGGCCGGGCTGCGGCTGTGCCGGGGGATCGAGGGACCGGAGGAAGCGTCACACACGGCTCCATGTCCCACCGTGCCAGGGGAAACCCGCTGCCGGGGAGCTGTAACACCCCCCACCCCACTCCCCTGCGGCACCCAGCGCTGAGGCACAGCCCCCGTGGGACCCCACGCCGGGGCTCATTAAGCAGCGGCTCATTAAGAAGAGTGGCTCCTGATAAACAGCCTCGCTAACGAGGCACCAACGTCTCCCCCTGGGGCTGGGACACACCAGCACCCATGGTGGGGTACAGGGGCCCCAGGTGGTGTGGTGAGAGCCCCGTGGTAGTCATTGCCAGCTGCCATGGCATGCCGGGAGCTCCAGGGCATCAGAGCATCATCAGCTGCTGGGAGGGCTGGGGAATGGCCCCACAAGGAGACAGTCACAGGGCCACCACGGCCTACAGCCAGGGGACCCTGGCAGCAGCTTCAGTCTCAACACTGTGTCCCTGCCGTGCTTGGCTCCTGCACAGTCACTGTAGAGCAGCAGCTCATGCAGCTGGATACCCCTAAACTCAGCAGCTCCCCCAGTGCCATGGCCAAAGCACCCCGAGACCTGTTGGAAGCACTGTGGGCCCTGGTTTGGGGTAGAAGGGCAGGAACAGACACCCTGAGAGACGGACTCAGCCTCTTTCCTCACCGGCACCCACCCCAGAGCAGGCACAGGCTGCCCCGTCCCAGGGTCAGGATGGACCCTCCATCTCCCAGGCTCTGGCAGCCACGGCATGGCCAGCGGGGCACGGTGGGCTCCAGCAGTGCCCGAAGGGTTAAGTGCAGGAGGAGAACGGGCAGCATCACTTCTGCACGACTGCGTTTGTAGAGCAGGGCTTGGCGAGGCGGTGGTACCTTCCAGCAGCCTGTCACGCTGGGCAGATGGATGTCCCCTGGCATCACCGGCCCTGGGCTCAGCGCCCACCGGCCCCGCACCGGAGGGACCCCGGTGGCACCCTGGTACCTGGCACGCCGCAGCCACCGGTGAGCCGGGCGGCCGCTCCGCTCCCATCTGCCGCCATAAATCCGGGCTGTGTGCCGCGCGCTGGCTCCCGCACTGCTGGGGAGCGCCTGGTGCACTGCAGCACGCCCCGGCAGCGGTGGCACGGCGCGGACTGGACCCCCATCTGGACCCCCACACTGCAGACTCATCCCCACGGCTGTGGGAGAAGCCTGGAGGGCGGCGGGGCCAGAGCGGGGCTCAGCACCCCGTGCTGGCGGTGCCATTGAGGATGAGTGGGGCAATGCGGGGCATCCCCCATGTGGGGACTGCACGGTGCCCCCCGGCACCGGACACCCCCCCCCAGCACAGCCAGGCCCTTTGTTTGGCTCCGGCAGCTTCGTCCTTTTGGCGCATCCGGGGCCCATCGATCACCAGGGGAACAAAAAAGTGCCATTGATTTACGAGTCCCCTTCCTGTCACCCCGCGGCCACAGCGAGAGGCAAAGGCGCACCGACCGCCCCGGCCGGTCCGCCCCGACGGACAGAGGGACAGACAGACCGACCATCCCCCTGCACCCACCGCTCAGCCACCCGGGGAGACGGGGGGGGGCCCAGCGCAGCCCCCACCCCGCGCCAGCCCTCCCCACGCAGCCAGCGCTGCACAGTCACGGCGCCCAGACGGCCACGCACACGCGCGCTGGCTCGGCAGACAGCGCCTGCGACGCAGCCCACGCACGCGGGTGGCACCGAGCCACGGCACAGCCCCCCCCGGCCTCGCCTGGCGCAGCCGCAAGGCGCGGGCGCTAACGGCACCGCCGGCACACGGTGTCCCCGGGGCCACCTCCCTGCGTGGGGAATTGGGGCTAAGGGGGGGTGTGGGGGGACGGGGGGCTGCTCCCCAGGCATAGGGGCTGGGGTGCCAGCAGGCATCTGAGGGGATGGGCACAGTGCTCCACAAGCGCCCCGGGACTCCAGACTCCAGCACCACCCTACAGGTGCCCCCGCTCCCCCCCATCACTATTGACGGCCACGCGATCCCTGTAATCCCGGCTAAAGCCGGCACCTTCCCATGTTGCTAACAAGATCAATGAGGTTTCTAATTGGGTTTTAATTAAACCATCAATCTGCGACCGGTGACTCAATTACCGGCCCGGGCAGGAGCAGGTGGCCCCGGCCCTGTTGCACCCCAACACTGTGGCCGCTTCTCCCATGGGAATCCCGGCTGCGCTGCCGGGGCTCGGTGCCGCCCAGCGCCGTGACTCACGGGGCACGGCACCCTCTGCCCCGGGCACCCACTCCTGCCAGCACCACGCCGGGCACCCGTGGGTGGGTGGCGGGGGGCTCTGGGTGCATCGGGGACCAGCCTGGAGGGCACGGCCATGGGGTGGGGGGTGGCCGAGCACCCCTCAGCTGACCTGGGGACACCGCAGCCAGTGTCATCACCACAGTCCCCTCCTCTGGCCCTGCAGCCGAGCAGGGAACTGCCCCTGCTCAGACACAACTGCTCCGTGCCCCACAGCACCTTCTGCTAGATGCCCCCAGACCCACTGGGGAGGGGGGTCCCTCCTGCTGCAGGTGACCCCGTCCCCAGCCCTGTGGGTGCCAGTGGATGTGATGGGGGGATCCATCCACGCACAGCCCTGGTGTTGGGGTCTGGCTGCTGCCGGGGAGCCTGGGCCCCCTCCAGACCCCTTCTGTAGGGATGTGGTTCCTCTTCTGTGTGAGACGCTCCCCAGCAACACTGCTCTGTGCTGGGGCTCTCCAGAACCCACTCCAGCTCTCTCCAGATGCCGCTCCAGCCCTCTCCAGAGCCCACTCCAGCCCTGACTGCCTGCGACACAACCTCGGCCAGACAAAAGCCACCTTGAAGAGGTGAGCGTGGCGGCAGCGACGGCGCCGGGGGGGGCTGCTTGAGCTGGGGGTCGCACACAGTGCTGGGCCCTCCCTGCACACAGGTGGGCTCTGACCCCCCCACCTCAGCCAGGCACCAGCACCCCGTGTACTCCCTGTCTCGCAGCATCCCCCCACTCTGTCCCCTCCACAGCACCCAGTGCCCTCAGCACCAGCGCCCTCAGTCCCCACACCGGAGCCAGTGGCAGAGCATGGCACACGCCAACCTGCTCTGGGGGACTCCTGGGGGCTGCAGCAGTGGCAGGGGGTGCTGGCCATGCCTGTGCCCGTGCACAGGGACAGATCACTGTCCCCATCTCAGCATCTGGGACACCCAGCAGGGAGGTGGCATCCACCAGCACCAGCATGCCAGGGCCCAGCTCAGCTGGGGATACCCCGGGAGCCTCTGGCCCCGCTCTGTGGGGCACTCCAGGGTCACAGCCCCCCCAAAAGCCAGTGCTGAGTGGGATACAATTGCCCTGCAGCTTTGCCTCATGCCTTCGGGCCTGTTCCTGTCAGGACTTGGGATTGGAGGGCAGCGAACAGCCAAGGGTCATCCCACAGCCCCGGGGCTCGCTGGCTGCTACCAGAGGAGATGATGGGACAGACAGATGGAATGTGCAGCTGGACCAACGACTGGCCGAGCAGGAGCAGGATCCGAGGATTCCACCTTCACACCTCCCCAGGGCTTTGCAGACACACCCCAAACCCACAGCACGAGGGGTGCCCCGGCCTGCTCGGTGACCCTCCCTGGCACCCCCAGCCATCCCTCGTGTGGCTGGGGGGGCTGAGCTGCCGCCAGCTCCCTGCTACCTGAGGCACTGTTGGGACCACGATGGGCTCCATGGGTTGCCCCTCAGCCCGTCCTCCCGCCGAGGGCGGCCACAGGGCCACCTGTGGGGGCATGGTGGGAGATGCAATAGATTTGTGGGGTGCCTGGCACAGCCCCCAAGGAGCGGCCGCAGCCGGCACCCCCCTCCTCCCTGGAGAGCCCCACAGGGCCGAGCTGGGCTTGTTTATGGCTCCGCTTGCAGCGGGGTTGCTGGGATTTGCAGGCTGCGGCCCAGGGAGCCTAATTCCCCCCATAATTTATCTAATCCAGACACTTTGCCGTGCGGCTGTAATTGCGTCCGAGCTGCCGCACTGCCTAACAATAAATATCAGCTCCGGAGTCCCTGGGACACGGCTCTGCCGCAGCCGCCCCCCACCGCGCCGCCCGTGCCCTGAGCTGGACGCTCGCGGCCGCGCCAGACACGCGTGCGCGATGGGTGCGGGT